CTAGACGCGGCCGCAAGGGAGCTCTTACTCAGGTGCAATTCGCCATGTCATGTCGTTGTACGGTACGTGTGGGCCCGATATTCATTCATTCGGCGAAGGATTCCGTCGGTCCCGTCACCGCACCGTATTTGTTTGGCGTCGACACACGTGAAGCTTGCGATACAATCGCGAGAGTTCGCGGTGAAGATTTCGGGTAACGACCGGCATTTTGTCAAATGGCTCCGATATCTAGCTGCAATAATGGATTCCCTGGGCAATGGTTTATGTTGATGATATTGTTGCTCTTCATGTACCTTCAACTGGGCATCTATTGGCCTCATGTTAAATTCCGGATATGTCGACCTTGTATAGACATGGCTAAGAGGTCCTTTAAGCGGATGTGCTAGGGTATGTGTATATGGTAAACCGGGGGCGCCCGGCCTGGGCAGGGGGAGGGCGCGCGCGTGCGAACCTTTAATCATTCAAGCGCGCATTGTTTCAAATAATGTCAATAATGACGGCGCAAACTGTCAATAGTTGATGTTGTCGCCAAGTGACTAAACAATGGCGAGGGGAGCGCGAGTAATGACTCAAGGAAAACATAAATATAAACTTTCGACGTTTCCCGCGGATTTATGAATCTGCGCTGAACCTCCGTTTTGGCGCGCAGAGCGCGCCAGGGGCAGCGCCGGAGGCGCCACCAAAGGACCGTCCAGCATTTATGTTTATATCATTTTTTGTTCTTCGAATGTTCTGGAACGAAGAAAACATGTAGAACACTTGATCAGCTCGCGCGGCGCCCCTTGCTGCCGTGCTGCGCTCCAGGCTAGGATAGTGCAGAGGCGGCCAACATAGCGAGTCCGGAGCACATGCGCCCAATGTCCGCGCCAGAGGACCGAAACTCGGGGCGGCGCGTGGGCATTCTCGGGATACCCCAGGTGCACGCGCCAGTGCGGTCATCCTCCCCTTTCCTGGCGCCCCTCCTTCTCTTCCCCTCCCCACTCCATCCCCCTCTTCCCCTCCTTCTCTTCCCCTCCCCGTTCCATCCTTCTCTCCCCTCCCTACTCCCTCTCCTGCCTCGCTTCCCTCGCCTCCCCTTCCTCTCTTCCTCCATCCATCTTTCCCTCCTTCCCTCCATCTCTCTCCTACGTTTCCCTCCCTCCCTCCGTCCATTCCTCCCTCCCTCACTCCCGCCCCGTCCCTTCTGGACTTCGTCCTGGGACTCCAACTCCAACTCCCTCCCGTCTCTCTCTGCTCCCTGACGCGCAGAACGCGCCAGTGGCGTCGCCCGAGGCGCCGCCAAGGGGACCCATTGCCAGCCCCCGAAATCCGCGCGGACATGCGACAGTTTTTCCTTCGTCGACTGACAGCGAATCGCTCTGCTCCGAGCGGTGGGAGGCTGAGAAAGGCTCGGTATGTCGACGCCTGGGGACTGGGACGTGGATGGAGTATAGTGTCGCGCCGGCGCGGTGGGCCAAGAATGGCATCCCGACACGTTGAGCCAAAGCTCCCGACAGTATCTGCATCCACTGATCAAAAGGTGTGCCCCACGAGGATCTCGCGGCGCGCCAGTATGGACTACAGTCAAAACGAGTAAGCAGGGTGCGCGGAAAGGATGCAGGAAGGCCATGTTGACGTTCTTCGAACAGGGCTGGCAAGCAAAAGTCGCCTAGGATGGGCCGAAAGGACAATGATGCAAGGGTGACCTTGGAACATCGCTCATCCTGAATATATATATATGTATGTATACATGATTTTACCGACTCTCTTCGCTTCGCCTTTAAAATCTTGGTCGCATGGCGCCAGAAAGGCGCGCTGGGACGGGCAATCGTCGCTGCCGCGGTGCGCCTCGTCAATGGGGCCCATAGGGCTCGTGTGGCTCATGAAGCTCGTCTGTGGTCATAGGGCTCTTGCGGCTCGTTTGGCTCAGAAAGCCCCCCTCGCCCGACTTGGTGAACGCTCGACCCGAAAAAGGCCCCGAGACGCCACCGAGACGCCCCATGGACCCGGCATTTTGACGACCGCTGAAAATGCCGGGTGCTGCGGGTCTCTTCGGGCCATCTTGGGCCGCTCTTGGGCCGCTCTGGGGCCCCGGAGAAGACCCCGAGAGGGCCCCGAGCGAGCTCAAGAGGGGCCCAAGAAAGCCCCACGAGCGGCTCCATGTGGGCCCTCGCACCGGGCATTTTGACAGCTGCTGAAAATGCCGGGTGCGGGGGCCCTCTTGTAGCCCTCCTGGGGCTTTTCGGGGCCGCTCTTGGGCTACTCTTGAGGTGCCTGGGGCTCGGCGAAGGCCCCGAGAGAGCCCCAAGAGAGCTCCAAGAAGGCCCCAAGAGCGGCCGAAGAGCACTGCATGATCATGCAACAATCTTGGGGTTCTCTTTGGGATCTTGTAGGGCTCTTCCTTGGCCTCTCTTGGGCTCTGGAGAAGTCTCCGCGAGAGCCCCTCGACAACTTCCATGGGGCTTTGGAGAAACCTCGGAGAAAGCCCCACGAGTCCTCCCAGATGGCATCTGAGGACCTCGGGGGTGTGCGGGTCACTGGGCACAGAGGGCTCGTCTGACTGAATGGGCTCGGAAGCTCGTAGTGCGCAGGGCTCGCGGGGCCCGTGGGGCTGATAGGGCCGATCGGCCTCATAGGTCCCGCGAGGCTCATTTGGGGGTCATCTGGTGGGTCTGTTAGGGCTCACTAAGATCATAGGGTTCATATGGCTCGTAGGGCTCATAGGGCTCTTAGGCTTCATATGGCTCGTAGGGCTCATAGGGGTCATAGGGTTCATATGGCTCGTAGGGCTCATAAGGCTTATAGAGCGCATCGGTCTCATGGGGCTCATGGGCGGGGCTCATAGGGCTCATAAGCGTCATGGGGCTCACCAGGCTCATGGGGCTCATAGGGCGCATAAGGCTCATGGGACTCATGAGGCCCATGAGGGTCATAGGGCTCATAGTACTCATTGGACGCATAGAGTTCATATGGCTCGTAGGGCTCATAGCGCTCGTATGGCTCGTGGAGCTCATGAGTGTAATCGGGTTCATCGGGCTCATATTGCTCATCGGGCTCATAGGGTTTATGTGGCTCATAGGGCTCAGAGGGGCGCATAGGGATCATAGGGCTCATGGTGTGCATAGGGCTTGTAAGAATCATACGGCTCGCAGGGCTCATGGGTCTCATAGGGTTCATATGGCGCATAGGGCTCACAAAGCGCGTAGAGCTCATGGGGCTCATGAGGGCTAATGGGGCCCGTGAGGCTCATGGGGCTCATGAGTGCTCAGAGGGGCTCATGGGGCTCGTATCGTTCGTATGGATCATAGGGTTCATAAGGCTCAGAGGGCCCAGGACGGCTCATAGGGCTCGTGGGGCTCATGGGGTGCATAGGGCTCATCAAAACCATCGGGCTCAGAGGACTCATAGGGCCCATCGGGCTCATACGGGTCATGTGGCTCATAGGGCTCGTAGGGCTCATGAGGCTTATTGGGCTCATAGGCTTCATATGGCTCGCAGGACTCATAGGGTTCAGAGTGTTGACAAGGGGCTCATCGGACTCATGGGGTGCAGAAAGCTCATAAAGCTCATGGGGCTCGTAGGGCGCATAGGGCTCGCAGGCCTCATGGCTTCATGGGGGTCATGGGGCTGATGGGGGCTCATAGTGTTCCTATTCCTCGTAGGGCTCAGAAGGGCCATAGGGATCATAGGGATCAAAGGGCGCATCGTGCTCGGAGGGCCCATAGGGCCCGTTGCGCTCATGGGCTCATGAGGGGACCCAGGGCCCAAGGTATGAGCGTTGCGCTAGAGGAAGATCAAGGCATCTAAGATACAAACTTGCGGAGATCAATGAGTGTGGCCTCTCGGGGCCATGGCGCGGAGGCGTCTGGCGGCCCTCGTGGCCCGCTGCGGGACCTTCTTGAGCCGTCCTGGGGGGCGTGGGCTGTTCTGGGGCCTTCTTGGGCCCTTTCGGGGGCCTCTTGTGGCCTTCTGGGGCTGTCTTGGGAACTTTGGGGGTTCTCAGGGGCTCCATGTGGGCCGTCTTGGGGCTGTCTTGGGCCGTGTTGGGGCTCTTTGAGGCTGTCTCGGGGCCCTCCTCGGGACTTCTTGGGCCGCATTGGGGCGATCTTGGGGCCAGGCTAGGCCGTCTTGCACGCTTTGAAAACCAAAGAAGGAAACATGCAGAACATGTAAGTGTTTTCCAGGGAATGAAATTATGTGTGCCTCTTGGGGGTCCCCCTGGGGGGCCTCTTGCGGCGTTTGGGGCAAGGAATATATACGTATATATATATATATATATATATATATATATATATGTATATTTAACTATATATACATAGACATATGTGTATATATATATATCACATTTGACTGCATCTGGTAGCGGGCGGGGCGCATGCACGTCGAGCGCTCCGCGAGATTCCCGGGAGCGCACACCTACGGGTCGGAGAGCATGGGCCCCTTTGGTCGGGAACGTCTGCTTCCGCGTGTCGCGGCGGCGGCCCCGGAGACATGCTATGCTTTGCAAGTGGATAGCACGTCGCTCCGCTACGCGGGGTGGAAGTCGGTGGTCCTTGTTTCAAAGTCTCCTGAGTGTACTGTCGGGAACTTTCGCTTAGCGTGCGTGTCGCGGCAGCGGCCCCGGGGACACGCTATTCCCTGCGAGCGGATAGCGTGTCGCTCCGCTCCGCGGGACGGGAGGCTCGGAAAGGCTCGGGACGTTGACGCCTGGGGACTGGGACGTGGATAGCGTGTCGCGCCGGGGCGTGTTGGGCCAACACCGGCGGAATGACACGCCAAGCCAAAATTACTGACCGCAGATCTGGCGCCCTGAGCTTTTTCAAGAAGGGGTCCTTAGAAGTCCCGATCCTCTCCCCACGGTCGGCTTTTTGTGCTGAGCAGTTTTGTGGACGGCCCCAGGACCCTGTGAGGGACCTCGGAGCGCGGAAGCGGCCGAAGACTCCCTCCTTGGATTGTTCAAGGCGCTGGATGTCTGGAGATAGATTCTGGGTCCTGGGCGCGGAAGCGTGAGACAGGCGCGCCTAAATCCACACCTGCCGCGGCGAGGCGCGCGGCGAGCATCCACCCGAACGCCGCCCGAAGAGCCCCGCGCGCGGCCACTGCCGGGCACGTGGCGTCTCCATGACCGCCACCTGGGCCTCGGAGGGGGCACGAGCCCAGATCTCTGGCGATCTGCTCCCTTCAATCTGGCAATCCTCCGCTTCTTCTCCCTTTCTCCTCCTCCTCCTCCTCTCCTTCCTCCTCCTCCCTTACTCCTCCTCCTCCTCCTCCTCCCCCCATCTCCCTCTGACCCCATCGGGTTCTCCCAGGCGTCGTCGATATGTTGTTCTGCGACGCGTGGTCTCGAGGCCCGTTCTCGGGCCGCGGGGCCAGCAGCGACACGGACCCGGGATGCAAGCTGCACCCCGCGGGACGGGGGCGGAACCTCCAGGGCCACGCACCGGACACAATCACACCGTCGGATGCGAAGGGGCCCAGGGACAACAAATCAATAGACACGAACCCCAGGATTCCCCACATCTCCGACAGTTTCTGGATGTTCATCTTCCCCTGCAATTCCCACATGTTCCAACACTTTTTCTTTGAAATCGGCGATTCTTTGTGTCTGCGTGCTTCTTCCCTCCTGAGGATGTCTGGGAGGGTGGGGCGCCGACGGGCCCCGCTCCCTCAGGCGCCCCTCTCCTGCCCTCCGCCCCCCTGGAAACCGGGCGCCGCAGCCGCAACAGCGTGATGCTCGGCGGGTTCTCAAGCGCTTTTTCGGCCCAGCCCCCGCCCCAGGGCAGTCGAAATCCCTGGGGGCCCACGCCGCGAAGCAGATGCGCCGACTGGAGAGAGGGCCCTCCTCGGCCCTCGGCCTCCCCTCTCCTGCTCCTCTGCCTCTCTTCACCTCCCCCCCTCCCCGCACTTCTCCCCCCCCGTCCCCGCCCCCGAGGGGTGGGGCCTTCGGAGGCCCAAGAAGGCCAAAGCCGCCCAGAAGCCTCGCTCCCCGATCCTAGAGCCTCGGCCGCCGAGGCTCTCGGATCGGGGAGCGGGTATCGGCGGAGGCCGACCTTGCCCCTCTCGATTGGAGGCCTTCTCAGATCGAGCGCCTCTCGATCTTGCCCCAATCTTGCCCGATCTTGCCCCTCTCGAAGATCGAGGGGGAGCCCCTCCTCAGCCCTCTCGAAGATCGAGGGAGAGCCCCTCCTCAGATCTTGCCCCTCTCGATTGGAGGCCTCCCAGCCGGGGTCTGATGGGGTCGGAGGATCGCGCCAACGCCGCCGATGCATCGGCGGCGTCGGCTTGGAGGAAGTCGGGCTCCACATCGGGCCGCCTGGCAGATGCACTAGCGATGCGGCACGATCCTCCGACCCCATCTGCTCTGACCCATATTGGGAGGCATCAGTTGATCGTCCCACCCGCCTGCACGTCCGCGAGGAGCATCGCCTGCACGTCCGAGGAAGGCATCGCGGAGAGCATCGCGGAGGGCGCCGGCACCGTGCTCGAGGCGTACACTCCGGGGCGAACTCCGAGTTCCGAGAACGTGTCTCCGTGTGGCGTTGTGCCTATGAGCCGGGCAGAGAGGCCCGGGTGGTCGGGCACGTCCGCCGCGTCAAGGCCAGACGAGCCGGCGCATCGGCGTCCGAGGCCCACTAGCGCGACGCCGTCGCGCACTGTGCCCATTAGCCGTGCAGAGAGACCTGTCTGCTCGGGCACCTCCTCCACGTGCTCCCCGCTGGGGTGCAAGAAGGACGAGCCCGAACGTCGGTGTCTGGCGTCCGAAGACGGAAGACTGTGACGCACTGTGCCCGCTGCTGAACGTGCAGAGAGACCTGTCTGCTCGGGCACCTCCTCCACGTCCCCCCCGCTGGGCTGCAGGTCGGACGAGCTCGAACATGGGCGTCCGAGGTCCGAGGGCGGCAAGCTGTGACGCACTGTGCCCGCGATTGATCGTGCAGAGAAACCTGTCTGGTCGGGCTCCTTCTCCACGTCCCCCCCGCTGGGCTGCAGGTCGGACGAGCCCGAACATTGGCGTCTGGGGCCCGAGGATGGAGAACTGTGACGTACTGTGCCCTCGAAGACCTGTGCAAAGAGTTCTGTCTGGTGGGGCACCTCCTCCACGTCCCCCCCGCTGGGCTGCAGGTCGGACGAGCCCGAACATCCACGTCTGGGGCCCGAGGGCGCGAGGCTGTGTCCCACTGTGCCCGTGCACCCTGCAGGGAGACCTGGCTGGTCGTCAGGCACGCAGTCGCGTTCTACCTTCGCATGCTTGCATCCTTTTCGCGGCGATCAAAAAGGCCAATGTAACTGAGAAGCCTGGCAATCGAAGACGACTAAGAGTCTTTTGGAAGGGACCGGGCCCTTCAAACCATGAACACGATCCAAGATCCGATGTCTTGATTTGTTCTGCACGCGGGCCCCAGGAGCTCTCGACCCATTCGGGGGGACCCGCTTTCCGTCCTGGATCATCTGTCAATGGTGGTCCTGGGGTTTGAGAGATGGCCCCCCAGACGCGGAACAGGTGGAACAACACTCCGCCTTGATCTGTTTTGTCGAGGGGCTGGAGATCTTGGAGCCGTGCGTCCCCCAATGTAGGATGACGACGGAGAACAACACGAGGGGGAACAATTAACAACACATTCTCTGCCCGTGGGACAGGTTCTGAGGGCGATTCAAGAATCTAAGTGGCGACGCCAACACCCACGAGCGGGCCTGGAACCCAATTTGTGGTCATCGCCCAGCTCGTGGCTGCGTGACGGCCCCCGGCATTTAGTTATAGTTAGCCTAGCTTCGGGTCGGTCGAAAGGAGTTGTCAGTACAGGAAGGAACGGCAACGATTCGGCACACTGAGCTGGTTATCCCGTGGCCGGAGGCGCCCGTGTATAGAAGAAAACGTTTGTTTGGCGGCGACGCCGTTCGCACCCGCGCTTTCCCAATCCCCCTCCTTCCCTGAGGCGCGATATCACGAGCAAATGACAACATCGTGCAAAATCACGACTGGCTCCCTGTACCCTAACTTTCTGTAGCATTGCTCGAGCAAGGTCTGTCCGTGAGGGTTCCAGGGCTCGAAACATACCGAACTCGAGGGGTGTGAACAAAATGCGACGCCATGATCCTTAAGGCTCGCCCGACCCAGTGTGTTACCTTCTGCGAGGCGGGAAACTTTCTTGGTAGCTCGGCCCCCTGCCCTGGCCCTGCGCCCCTTTCGCGCGCCCCCGATCCTTCCCGCAATGCGCCGGAGAAGCAGCCGCGCCAGTGCATCCCGGGAGGCGGCCTCCGGGGGGATGTGGGTAGTGGTCCCCGCGCAGGGGGAGCATCCGCTACAGGCTACAAGCAGGAGTGACCCTGGGCAAGCGTAATCTTTTGGTGCGCGACTGTCGGGGAGCGCGGGAGGGCCAAACCCGAGCAGGGAAGCCGCTGCTATCGCATCGCATTCAGCCATCTGGGGGCCCCAGTGTGCCCGCACCAGAGGTCACTCCGGAGAAGGGTCACTCTTACGTGTGGCCGAGAACACAGAAGCCCTGAGTAGAGCAGCACCACCACGGCGCCGACGACAGAGACGAGGCGCGCTCATGATCCGCAGCGGAGCACGACGGACATGGGAAAGGGCCCACCCTGCGAGGTTTGGTAGTCAGCACGGCGCTGAGCGGCGCTGAGGCCCCTTCTGGGAAGGAGGGATGAGGGATGAGGAGGAAAGGGGAGGGTAAGACGAAGCCAGGACGAGGATCACTTCGGGTGAGGATACGTAAATCGAGAATCTCTGAGATCCCGCGGCTCTGGAGGATGTATGCATCGGGCACCGCGGCCTTCTCAGAGCGTTCCGGAACGCTCTGAGAGCGTTCCGGAACGCTCTGGAACGGACTATCCTCGTCCTTATCTTGTCCGAGAGGAGCCCGTATGTCTTTGTCACATCCTGCCGTGCTTTCTGTTCGGCCCGGGAGAAGTCCCACCGTCTTTTGTGGACCATCTGCGGGAGGCTTTTTCTCGAATCCTCCGATACAAACCCTCTCCGCCAACATCATATATGTTTCGACCGCTTCCCGGTGACCGTTCTCATCGCGAGTCGTTTGTTGACGGCCCAGGAGCCCGGAGCTGGCCCCCCGAGGCCGACACCGTCCAAAACTGGCCGTCGCGATTTGTGCTCGACGTCCAGATCTGAGGGCTCGGAGCCTCCGATCCCATCGAAGAGGGCCCCGTGCACTCTTAGAAGATGACCTCCGCCCACCCTCCGCGCGCCGCCCCTCTCTGCGCCGCCTGCCGAACAGGAGCATGAGCCGGCGACACCCAGAAAGCGCAGGCGGAAGGAGCGCGCGCAGCCCGCAAGCCAGGAGGCGGCGGAGGCGGCGGCAGAGGAGGTGCAGCGGAAGTAGTAGCAGGAGGCGGCGGCGGGGGCGATGGATGAGGAGGCGGTGGTGCAGTGATACACAGTAGTCAGCGTCAGCGGAGAATCTAGCGTGAGAAACCTGCCCGACACCGCCACTCTCCCGAGATGGCAGGGAGTGAAGCGGGCAGTGGGCGAAGCCCCGCGCATAACTAGGAGGGGGAAGGGGGAGATAGAAGAGGAGGGACCAGGAGCTCATTCGCTGCTGACCGCGCTGCCTTTGGAGCGGAAGAGCAGGACAAGGGAGGAAGGGAGGAGGAGGAGGCAGGTAGGAGCAGGGGGCAGGGAGGAGGACTACCAGGCTCGCTGCAGTAGGGAGGGACGAACAGCAGCGGGGAGGGCAGCAACGGCGGGAAGCCTCGCGGGCGCCGGGGACACGCGCGACCGGGCGGCGGCGGAGCCACCGCCCTGCGGAGGCGCGGCCCCGGCGGTGAGGTCGGGCCCTGAGGCGCCTCCTGGCGACGGGGGGAGCTGGGGACGGCAGCCAGGCGGCGAACTGCATACACGTCCACTGCTCCCCGGCCAGGCCCATCCCGAACCCAGCTCACTCACTCACAACACCGAAATGCCCAAAGTTCCGAAAGCCAAAGACGTGTGAGACCTCTGGGGGAACCTAGACGGTGCTCGCACACTTTGGGCGGTTTTCTCGGACGCCGCTCACTTGGTTGTGAGCGGCTGGGCGAAATCGAAATGACGGCCCTCGTGGCTTGGCCAGGAGGACGTGCGCGCAGCTCCTGGGTTCAGGATGAGCCTGGGTTCAGCATAGATCGTGTCACCCGATGCAATGCGATCGAATCTGGTTGGAGGCGCGAGCTTTTGCAGATGCTGGCGGCCCATTCGTCCACCGGAATGCTGTCATGCTCTGGCCTCCTAAATCAGGATCTGGCCGTGCCACTGCGGAGCGCCTCCCGGGCGCGAGGACACGCGAGAGGATACGAGGCCCTTCCGAGGGCCACAATGCCCTTGGAATGCGGAGGACACGGGGCGCGGAACACAGGACACAAGGGTACCCTCGATTTGCAAGGGTCGACCGACTAGTCAAACTTGACTGTACCTCCACTGTTTCTCTGCGGTCCCATGGCCCAATGAGAGCCCCCAAAGGCCGAACGCGGCCACGACCGTCCGTCTTTTTTTTCTCTCAAGGCGTGGCATGTCTGCGGATGTATCGGAGCAAATGAAATATCATAAGCAACGGCATAGATGTGTAACATGCCAGGGGCGGCGCTAAAGGACCCGCCAGGGGGGCCAACGCAAATCCAGGACACTCGCGCGGATCTTCGAACGTTTATGTTTACGTAGTTGTGTTTCTTCTGCGAGAATCGGTCGGGCAGAACGGGGTTTAGTGGGACCTGGTTCAATGATGTGCGCTGGGGGGCGCCCCCCCCGCCCCGTTCCACTAACCGGAACTGCCGTCGCCCGACAAAAACACCAACTACGGCAGACATGGTTTACTGATTCTGGCCAATTTTGGGGCTCCAGGGCCCTGCTACAAGCCGGGTCCCCTTACCTGGGGTCCTGGCTACAACCCGAAATGAGGGGGAGAGGTACTCGGGGCGGGAACTGGCTCAGGGAGCCCCCGACAGCGACACGGCACGCTCCACGACGGGGTGGGGCACCCAAGCCCTGGTTGGCGATACATCGGCGATTGGGGGTCTATGCTCTCCCGCCAGGCCCAAGGCCGCTTAACATCGGCTCCACGGCCTAGGAGGAGGAGGGGGAGGAGGAGGAGGAGGAGGAGGAGGAGGAGGAGGAGAAGGGGGAGGAGGAGGAGGGGGAGGAGGAGGAGGAGGAGGAGGAGGAGGAGGAGGAGGAGGAGGAGGAGGAGGAGGAGGGGCCCCGCCCAGCTGTGTCCAGCTTGTCCACGGCCTAGCGGAGCAGGCCCTGCAGCTTAGGCGAACGCCTGATAGACACACGGAGCCTACCCTGTATAACTTGTTGGGCGAATTGCTGGGAAACGGGAGGAGAGGCACGCAAGGCTTGAAAGGACGAATGGATGGCATCGAAAGCAACAGTATAATTAGGCAGAGCATCGGGGCCCGAGAAGTGGAACAGGTGAGGGAAGAAGGAACTCAAGGGATCTTCACCGTAGTCTTCAGGAAGAGCAGGGAGGAGGCGTTGAAGGACGGGGCGACATACGCCGTAACTCAATTAATTCAGGACACCATCGCCTCCAATACACGAGCATCCAAATACACATCTACCTGGCCCCTGTCAGTAACGTCTTGTTGTGTTCCAGCTGTTAAATATGGTTTTTAACAGCCCGACGAAGATAAACCCAGGAACAACTTGAGCAGCCCGAAGAACACGAACAACATACAGGTCAAATTGGTGATCCGATACGCTGGGGACCCATTGTTTGATTCTCGGGTACAGGATGAAGGACACTGGGCTCGGAGAAGCGTCAGCTGATATCATTTCGGCCAATATTTTCTGCACCTGCTTGGGTACGCAAGGGTCAGGAAGCCTGGAAATATAGATGGGCGGCTCGTAGTCCTCCATTAACTGCGCGAAAAGGGAGCGCCGATACTGCATATCATACTGATGGGTGAAGAGGAACTCATCAGACTCTAGGACCTCGCGGAGCTTATCCCGAAGGTTGAGGAAGAGGGAAGAGTTGTGGGCAACACTGGGCCAGGCAGCGCGGCTGTGCACCTCGAGGGAATTCGCCTGCACACCTAGGCCGAGTTCCTGAAAGCGATGAAAAAGGCCAGGAGGGAAAGAGCGGCGAGGGCTGCACGTATACAGCTGGCGAGCCTCCCTCTCCATTCGGAGCGCGAACTTGTTGGGCCGAAAGCCCTGGCCGATATGCGCGGCCACTGGGAGGGCATACCTGTTGTGGGCAACGAGACTGGCAATGAGGCCTTCCCCAAGACATTTGACCAAGTGGGCCCGAGCCAGAAGTTTCGCACCAACAGTTTTCCAGGAATGGTCCAGACCGCCGGCTCCAAGAATAAATCCAAGCTGCTTCCCAAAAAGCTGAATCTTAAACTTGTGCACTTGTTCCCAGCCTCCTTAAACGTGGCAATCGCATTCTCCAGCTTGCCAGGGTCAGTGAGGATTATCACGCACTTGGCGGTGTTGAATATCATGCCCGAGGAGAAGGCAAACCGCGCGATCGCACGGGCAACAGGACCAAGCGCGCGAAAAATATCTGCGGCCACCATGCCGAGGTCGTCAGCGAACGCGGAGACTTGTGTCGGCAAGTCCGTGGGGATCAGGCCGATAAAGCGCAGCAGTGGATCTAGGCGCAGAACAAATAGTACACCAGACAATGGGCATCCTTGCTTTACTCCTCTCAGGGCCGTGAATGAGAACTTGTGGGAGCCTCTGAAATGAATCCAACAAATCATATTCTGGTACGGGTTCATAATCGCTATGGTGATCAACTCAGGGAACCGATAAGAACGCATAACTTTCCAGATCCACTCGCGCAACACGGACGGACAAGGCAGCACGAACATCATAGAGACACGCGCCACAGTCTCTATGGCCGAGAACGGTCTTCCATAACATCATGTTAAAGTCTACCTCTAGCACGTTGTCCATGATGTTTCTCCCCTTGCTGAATCCGTGACGAATGCCCCCGATCAGCTAGTGCTTGTGCTATGGGCGAGGCGACCAGCGACGACGCGATCTTGTCATCGGTGTTCGATAGGGCTATCGGACGTGTTTCGTCGGCCCCCTGCAGAACATTCCCAGGATCATCGATTTCACCTTTGGCAAGGAAAACGAGTTGAGCAGTATTGAACTCGCTGCTCGCATGGCCGCCGTCTAAGACGTGTTCGTAAAGCTCGAGCGATGCTTCCTGGGCAGCTGGTCCAGCAGCTATCCAAGCGCTGTAGCGCGAGCCGTCGGGCCCCGGGGCAGAATCCATTTTCCCGCGCAGGAGATCCAGGAACGGATCGAATGTTTTTCCCCAGGGAAACCTCTGATGAGTCGAATTCGCGCGTTGGTACTCGTCGGGGTCCATGGGAGGAACGAGCTCCAGAAATTGGCCTCCAGGATCCGCAGTGCCCTTCCAGGCGCCAAAGACATTGCCCCAACGAGAACAAAGCAGCTGCGCACACACCGAGGGCTCAGTATGGGCGAGTCCGTTTTGGTCCACGATCCCACGGGGACAGATGGTTCTCTGCTTCGACTTCCAAGCTTTTGCCAGCCGCCTTATCCTCATCAGGTGAAAGTCTGCGTTGTGCTGGGGGGTGCCCTCAGGGTCCCCGAGGTTCTCCTCTTGCTTCGCAAGCTCCTGATTCATGAGGGAGGAGAGGCGGGTATGGAAGTTAGACCACTCATTCCAAAACATATTCTCGTTATCGTAGAAGGTGAAGGGGGATGGGGTAAGCATGAACTGCTTCAGCTGCAGCTTTACAAAGCCCAGACCTGTGGGCGCGCACAAGTCTGAGACAGCGCGCCAACTTCTCTGCCGGGGGAGAGGCTGAGGTCTTAAACATGTCGGCCTTGGCGCGATTGCCAGCAGCAATGATCAGCAATTTGATTTCCTCCAGCTTCTCGGCTGGACCGGAACTGAACTCTTGACCCTCTGCGAGGTCTTTCAAAATACTTCGCACAAGAGTGACGCATGGACACCGAGGGCGGAAGGTGCGTCTCGCGGCGCGGCTTCCAGGGCTGCAGCGAGAGGCACGCAGGGGCGTGATCGGAGGGGAAGGTAAGATCGGTGATGTTCCAAGTCGTGTTACATGTAGGGCTTAGGTCTAGGAGCTCAGGAGTAGGGATGCTGCAATGGATTCTGTCCAATCTACCATAGGATATTGATTCCGTAGGCTGTGTGATAACCCGACGATGTGTGTATTGTGGTTGTTCAAACTCTGCGTGGTGAGGAAAGAGAGAGCGAAATAGAGCGGCGCGCCTGGCGGACACGAAGCGCTCGGTCCCGTGGGTGACATTGAACCTACCTTCCCCGGACTCGCGGCAGTTGAAATCCCCAGGGTTGAAGGACGTGGAGTTCAGAGCGGGCCTCAAGATGGATTGAATAGCCAGAAACTGCCTTCGGACCGCGGGGTCAGGAAGTTCGGGGTCAATGTGGACATTGGCGATTTGCAACTCTCCCTTGGGACTGCTCAAATTCAAAACTGCTACCCGGCCTGGCACGGGCTCCTGGAAGTCGGAGTAGGGGAAGTCTCTCAGCAACTCGTTGGCGACAAAAATGAGGAGGCGGCCGTCGCAAGCACGTGAGCAGAAGGAGCCACAGACAGAGTGATACCTGAACTCACGCTCGAGATGCGGCAGGTCCCCTGGAGCACCATGGGTTTCCTGTAGACACACGATCTGATGTCGCTGGATAACGGCATGTAGTATATGAAACTTATGTTGACCACGAATTTGATCGGCATACATCGACCCAATGAGGGCCTGAGAGTTCCATGTCGATATCCGAAACGCTGCATCAGGTATGTAGTATGAACATTTGGAGGGGGGGGGGGGGGGGGCGGAAAAAAAAAACGATGCTTTTGCTCTAATACTGGCTGGAGGCGACGGAGGATCGGATAACGCACAAGACTGCTCAAGAGCACAAGGCTGGGCGCAGCAAGCCCCGCGCGTTGCCGAGCCTGGGCTCTCTAATTCATGGCCGAGGTGCCCTGTGCTCGCCGTTCAAAGAGCGGCGATGAGCCCGGCGATCGCGTCCTTCATGATGTCGAAGTGCAGCACGCTCGGGTAGATCGGCTCTAGCTCGAAGGTGTCCTCTCCCTGCTGCACTGCCTGCGCTAATTCGTAGACGTCGTCATCCGTTATCACCTGCAAAATTCCCTTGTGCCCGTTGACACCTAGCTTGCATCCACCCGTCCACGAACGACTGGCCTGCAACTTCGTGAGTACATCGCAGTAGAGCCCCGTGAAGGCCCTCTTCTTCTGGCGAGCGTGGAGCGGTGAATAGCCCCTGACCCTGAGCGGGTACTTCTTGCCGTCGCGGAAGTCTACCCACTCCATGTTCACGTCGTTTACCTTGGTCTGGAAGCTCTTCGCGTCATCTTCGTTGACAAACTTCAACTTGTAGACCTGGCTCACCCCGTGGAAGATGGCAGTCACCCGCTGGTCGTCCTTGAGCTCGGGGAAGTGTTCCTGCGTCTGGCGCCAGTGGGCCAGGCGCGTCTTCATCAGCAGCGGCCTCGGGAATGTGCCCGCGAAACGGATGCACGGGCCGCTCTCGAGGTCAATCACTGGCGTCACTCTCCTCGCTTTGTCTCCATGTAGCTGTCGAACTGAAGGGCCGCTGCTCAACGAAGACTGGTAGCTGGGCGCAGTTCGTGAGCTCCCTGTCGTGTTGCCATTGGCCTCGAACGCCGTCAAACGCTCACCTTGCTTCTGGAGGTCAGCTCGGAGTGCGCTCAGCTCGGCCCCCTGCGTGGAGATCTGCCCCTGCAGACCTGACGCCGCCGTCTGAATCTCCTGCGGCACCACTTCTCGGATGCAGGTCTTCTGCTTCTCGAACATTGCCTCAAGCGAGGCCTGCAGCTCAGGAGGGATAGCCATGGCTGCTGAGGTGCGCACGAAAAATTACGAACATCTGAGATCGCGGCCACAAGGCACGAGCACTGAAGCTCAAGTGCCGCGGGGTCTGTCCCCGCAAGGAGGGCTGTCAGAGCCGCCCCCTCGGCCGCGAACAAGTTCGAAGCGCCAGGGAAACGTTTCGAACTTGAGCCAAAATGGCTACGGAGGAGGAGGGGGAGGAGGAGGAGGAGGGGGAGGAGGAGGAGGGGCGCAGCGTAGGAGGGACGTCCTGTCTGACTGTGTAATCTAACCTGATCCGCAACTCACGGGGTGAGTAGAACCGAAACCGAGGGAGGCGACAGCCCCACGAATATCTAGAGACATACCCCAGGGAGGTGGCCCAGGGAGAGCACGACAAGAATGACCCAGAGCACCGCAGGGAACGGCGACGACCGCAAGTCGGTCAGGCTCAGCATCACGTCTGGCATGCCCAACACCAGGAAGAGCCAGAAGGGCACCGCAGAGAACAGGAACATCGCTAGGCACTTCACGGCGACCAGCGGGTGCCATCGATATCAACCCAGCTCCCATCCAAACTCCCATTGTCGTCGAAGAGGTGGCCCGCTCCATCCGAATCTGAGTCAGAAGAGGCACGGCGAAGCTGGTGTGAGCCGCTGCCAGGGCCACCAGCCGCAGAGAGAGGCGCAGGAACAGCACGAGTCCCACCACGTCCTAGCATGGAGAGGACAAGGCGGATGCGGGTCTCTATCAAGTCTGATTCTATGAAAGAAGTCATGGCTTTCGCAACGCAATTCGCAATCTGCGATGGGCTGCGAGCAACCATTTCGCTGAGAAGCCCTGCCATCTGTTGCATAGCTTCCTCTTGGCCAGCAAAGGCCACACGTTGTTCATGAATGGCTTCGTCATGGAAAGCCACCTTCTCAATGGCGCTAGCATGCGCGGCGAGCTCTTCGGATATGTGATTCACGGAGCACCGCAACATAGATGACTCAGCAAATTCAGTTTTATATTTCTGCACGAAGACCGCCGAATCACGAAGGACAGCGATGTCAGCGGAGACGTTGGAAAACAACACGTGCGCTTCCATCAAAATCCCCTCACGGGTCGCTGACAAGAACTCGTTGGTCTGGGAGATGTGTTTGTCGATGAGCTGCTGGCAATCGTCCCAGAGCGCGGATAGAGGTTGCTCCACCCAGCGCGAGACCGTGGCGGGAGCAGGGTCAACCACGCAGCGCTGAACCGTCGCAACGGCATTCGCGAGGAAAACACGCTGTGCCTCGGCTCCGTCCTGCACGAGGGTGCGCACACGGGTCACTGTCTCGGATTGGTGGGTGCTCAACGAGAGACGCAAGGCATCCAGCTGCGCCGAGAACTCGTCAAGGCGCGGGACCTTGCACATCCACTCCTCGATCTTCTCACAATGTGTCGCCTGCGACGTGGTGACATCGTCGCGAACGGCATTTATCTGTTCATCGATAGTGTTCTCAAGCGACTCGACGCGGAGAGCAAGAGCCGCGAGGTCGGAATCAGAAACTGACGTCGCCAAGGCGCCAGTGAGAACCTGCATGTCGAAGATTTTCTCGTTCTTGTGCTCAATCGCACGCAAGAGCTGGTCATGTGTATAGCACAACGCGCAAAGCTCGTGGACCACAGGGCAGAGAAATTCAGAAACAGAGTCATTAAGGACACTTGGCACATATGGAGGCAAAACAGAGGGCTCAGAACAGTCGATCATCCCATAATAATCGGAAGAATCGTTCTCAGTAACACCAGACCAAGATAAGCGCTCGATCCCGGCCATATCTAAGCCGCTCCCAGACCTCGTATGCCCTCCGTGGGGCTCCGAGCGGAATGCGGCGATGGCTGCCACTTCTGAGCCGCTCCCAGACCTCGTATGCCTAACGGGCACCGAACGGTATGCGGCGATGGCACAGACGGGAGGCACGTCGCTGGCAGAGGGAAGAAACTCAGGTGCATCAGCACGGAGACGAGTACGCCGCCATCGTCGCGCACAGATCACCCCATCAGAAGAGAGCGGGGTGCGGGCCTCTTGCTCGAAAACAACGTGGCGCTCTTTACCAGCATTCCGAAACAGGCGTCGAGAAGATCGGTAAACCTGATCTCCAACCATCGGTCTGGCCAAAGTCGCTGCATGGGATGGGTGATGAACATTGTGTTGCAGAACCTCACACAAGAACGCGTGCCGACGAATAGCAGAATGCTGAAAAGAAGAATCAAGTTCACAATACGTCTGCTTTTCCAGCAACCGAATACGAGCAGCTAATAAATTGTACGCCTTACCCATGGACCACGTAGCCGTCCACGAAAACAAATGGCAGGGCAATCAACCTCACAAGCGCACAATGCAGACAGAAACGACTACGGGGAGCTCATGCCGGCTTGAGAGAGACTGGCTTGAGCCAAAATGGCTACGGAGGGGAGGAGGAGGAGGGGGAAGAGGAGGAGGAGGAGGAGGAGGAGGAGGAGGAGGAGGAGGAGGAGGAGGGGGAGGGCGAGGATGAGGGGGAGGAGAAGGAGTGGGAGGAGGGGGAGGAGGAGGAGAAAGAGGAGGAGGAAGAGGATGGTCCATCCTGGCCCGTCTGTCGCGGCGGATCCGGCCGCGGCGACGACACGCCTCCACGAGGCCCAGAGCAAAAACACCCCCCTGAGCCAGACCACTTCCTGAGCCAGCCGCCCCCTCAGCCAATTTCCACTTGTCGTTGCCCCTGACTGGAAGCCTCCCAGATGCGTCGCAGTGTATGGGATCGAAGGATCGCGCCACATCGTCGATGCATGTCAGACGCATCGGCGATGCATCGGCGAAGTCGGCGCGGAGAACATCGGGCTCCACATCGAGCTGCATCGCCGATGCTTTGGCGGCGTCGGCGCGATCCTCCGACCCCATCTACTCTGACCCCATCTGTCGGGTGTCGCTCGAAGTGCCCCTGGCCCTAGGTACCCCCAGGATTTCCCAGGGGGCCACACGGCCTCCAAAGCACTCCCTCACTGGGTCCAGGGCCCCCCCTGAGCTCCACCATCGGACGAGACGCTGCTGGGGGCACCTTGGGCCAGGGACGCTTCCGCAGCGCTCGAATCTGGGAGAGCTGGGCGGTCCCGGGAGGCAGCGCCAGTCGCCGCCACCGCGGCGGCGCCGGTCGCCCCCGCTGGTCTCGTGTGCGAGGCGGCCGCGCTCCCACCTCGGTGGGAGGCCAATGGTGGCGCGGGCTCGCAGTGCCGCAGGGGCGGCGGTCGGAGGATGGGGCGGGGACGGGGCGGGGACGGGTCCAGCGATGCTGAAGGGTGCGGCTCCCAAGACGGCCCACGAGGCCGCAGGATGGCCCGAGATGCCTGCCCCCAAGACGCTCCGTTTTTTCAGGGGCGCTTCCCGCAGAACAGCAATTCTACCCGAGAGGTCCCAACACTCTTGGCACGAACGGGCCTGTTGACGCCCCTTGCAGGTCCTCTTTGTGAGGCCCATGCACCGCGCTTGCTACATCGTAAATGAGAACATGAACACGAGTTGGTCTGAGCATGGGGAGTCTCAGTATAAGTGAGTCTGCGCATGAGGGGAGTCAGAGTGTGAGTCTGCGCATGAGTGAGTCAAGTATGGGCGGTTTGACTATGAAAGGGTCTGAATCTGAGTGGTTCTGAGATGAGTGAGTCTGACTGGGAGTGGGTCTGAGTGTGATTGGTCTGAACACAGGTGGGTCTGGGTACAAGTGTGTCTACGTGTGAGCCTGCGCGTGGGCGAGTCCGACTTAGGAGGGAGGAGGAGGCGGGAGTATATGACTGAGTTACGAGGCGGGGGCATCATAGTAATCACGGCAACCCCATACTGGGCTCGCGCAAGTCTTTCAGTACAGGATCTGAAGCTAAAGAAACTCACTTCTGTCCTGGCCTTCCAGATAACCAGAATCTGATGGGATGAATCCTCGCTCCCAAAACAGGCTAGGGGCTCCTAGCGCACCTTGTCAACAGATAGGACCATGCGGAACATTCAAGCCGAGTGTAACCCATGAATATCTTCTTATGGCAAGGCATTGGAATTCATATGAATCAAGCCCCACTCTCCCTGCCCGATTAGGCGCAGCGCGATTCTGCGCAATTAAACAAATGATTTCGTTGCGAGGGTCAGTTCTAGGGTTGGACGCTAGCAACCTAATTCCCAGCCGCCCCACATTCAAACCCCGCACTCCTCCTCTTCCATTTCCCCCCAGGGGGGAGTCTGTGCGTCGCGGAGTCTTAAGCGCCCTGAGCCTGCCCTGGACGATCTGGTCGATCGCGCTGATCATCGCCCCGTGCCCGTCCTCAGACATCCGAGGTCATTCTCAACTATCCTGTGGTGTTGGGTCCTCGTTTGCCCCGCGTCCCTCCTCTCCTCTCCTGTCCTTCTCCTCTCTTCTCCTCTCCTCTCCTAACCTCTCCTCTCCTCTCCTCTCCTCCTCCTCCTCCCCCTCCTCCCTCCTCGCATCCTTGCCTCTGACCTGCGCACCAGTCGCCTATTTCGGCACACCCCTCAAACGCTTCTTGGCCCCATAGGGAGCTCCACCGAGGGCCCCAGTGGCTGCGCTCGCATGCGCCCGCCCCGTCCATTGTCCGGCACGCCCCTCACACGTATCGTGGCCCCATAGGAAGCTCCACCGAAGGCCCCAATGGCTGCGCTCGCACGCGCCCGCCGCGCCCATGTCGGCACACCCCACACGCGTTTCGTGGCCCCATCCCTAGGGAGCTCCACCGAAGGCCCAAATGGCTGCGTATATTTCGGCACACCCCTCGCATGCGCCCGCCGCATATATTATTCGGCACACCCCTCACTCGCTTCGTGGCCTCATAGGGAGCTCCACCGACAGTCCCAGTGGCTGCGCTCGCAAGCGCCCTCCGCGCCCATGTCGGCACACCCCTCACAACTTCGTGGCTCCATAGGAAGCTCCATCGAAGGCCCCAGTGGCTGCGTTCGCACGCGCCCGCCGTGGCCATGTCGGCGCACCGCTCACACGTTCGTGGCCCATAGGGAGCTCCACCGAAGGCGCCAATGGCTGCGCTCGCATGCGCCCGCCGCACCCATTTCGGTACACCCGTCACACGGTTCGTGGCCCCGTAGGGAGCTCCATTGATGACAGTAATCGCAATAGCGTTGCTCACAACTGCAGATGGTTGGGTCCTTCGCCAGGCGAATGGTTTCTTCGTGACGAGGTTCCCCAAACCTCTGGACTTTACTGCCGGGGTGAGTCATCCCGCATCCTCTCTCACTTGTCTCGGGGCCACGTGCCTCCGACGGCCGAAACGTGGAAAACCGTCGGTCCTGAAATTTTCGTGATGCCCGAGGTCTGGGTCCTGCTTGCCGCGCCTCCACTGGCCAATGTAGGTGCACCCGTCCGGCCAGCTGAACGTCCCGCGGCCGTGCTTCAGGCCGTACCTGTACTGGCCCTGGTAGCTGGCACCGCAGGAGAAGGCATACCTGCCCTGGCCGTGCATCCTGTCCCCGAGCCACTCGCCCTCGTACTTCCTCCCCGAGTCCCCGCAGTGCCTCGGCGGCGAGCGCGAGGGGGCACGGAGAAGGGGGGCGGCCTTCTGAGGCGGCAGGGGCAAGACGACGCCAGGACGAAGGCACATTCAGGGGAGGACAAATCGAGAATCTCTGAGACCCAGCGGCTCTGGAAGAGGCATCGCGCGCCGCGGCCTTCTCGGAGTGCTCTGGAACGCTCTGGAAAGGAGTTGTCCTTGCCCAAGCCCCCGTCCGACGGGGGCCTCCTGGCAAACGGGTGGGCCCCCTCCGAGGAGGGCCAGAACACCGCTGCTCCGGAGGCGGGAGGGGGGGCTCCTGCGAGGCGGTGCGCCTTCCCAGAAGGCCGCCCCTCGTCCGCCCCGCGCCCTCTTGCGTGCCGGCGCGTGCCAGATGTACACCCCTCGGCCCTCCATGCGGTTGCCGACGAACTGACCGTCGTACATGGAGCCGTCCTTCTAAGACGGAGGCAGCATCGAGACAGAATCGGGCCGATACCATGCGGAAATCTGAAAATCGGCGGGTTTGGCAGCCGTATCGGGCGCCGCGGTCGTTTCAGAAGGTTCCGGAACGCTCTGAGAGCGTTCTGGAACGCTCTGGAACGGATGTATCCCGATTCCAGGCCCGTCCGATCCTTCCACTCGTACATGCCGTGGCCGTGCTTCAGCCCGTGCCGGAAACTGCCAGTGTACGTCCTGCCGCTCGGCAGCGCCTCAGTGCCCTCCCCGTGCTGGGCGTCGTCGGCCCACTGGCCCGCGCACACCGTGCCGTCGCTGCCCCTCCAAGTGCCCTCGCCGTTCGCTCGGTCGTCCGCGAACGTGCCCTCGAACGTGCCCCCGCCTGGCAGCCTCAGCAGCCCCCAGCCGTGCGCCCTGCCCTCCGCCGTCTGGCCCGAGTAGGTCGCGCCCGCGCGCGGGCCGAGCACCCGGAGCCGCCCCGGCTCGCGGGCGGCGCCGCCGCTGCCGCCCCACAGGTCCCGGGAGAGGCCGCGCGGCCCCGCCGCCGCCCGCGCCGCGCACCCGCCGTCCGCGCTCCTCGGGCTCTCCGCGGGGTCGCCGCTGCCCTCCGGCAGCAAGCCGTTCTCGGGGTCCTCCGGGCCCGCCCCCTCGGCGGATCGCCCGTCGCACTCCGCCGCTGCGCCGCAGGAGGCCCGCGCCGGGGCCGCTCGCCGGGCTGCGCTGGCGCCCTGCAGGCGGAGCCGTGGCCCATCTACAGTCAAGCTGCTACCCGCCAGGAGCGCCGAAGAGGTAAAAGGAACGAAGCCCTGGTATGGCCCTCAAAAGCGCCAGGGGGCCCCAGGAACGCCAGAGGAACAACCATGGAAGGACCTAAGGAACAAACGGCCTCTTCTAAACGCGAGCCGTTCCATATCACAACGTATTGACTACGGCTCGCCGCCTCCCCAACCCTCCTGAAACGAAAAGGTACATCTCTGGGAAAAGAGATTCCTCTCCAGGTCGAGGAATGGTTCCCCGGGTGGACTTATGGATCCTCGTGGATTCCTTATGATTCTGGGCGAACGACTAGTTCTCGGGTTGGGGCCCCATCAGGGCTCCTCATACGGCCGTTGGAGTTCAATTTCCCCCAAGCATGACTTCGAACCCCTTCAAGCGCCGCAAAGGATTTCGCATAACTGTAGCCCAGGTTGCCCCGAGGATCATCTCTTTGTGGCAATCCTACTCGCCCTGTGGGCCAGGGTGATCTAACGATGTCTTCCTTTCCTCTTCCAAGAGCTCTTCCCTTCAGGGAGGGGTACCTTCCCCCTCCCCTCCCTGAGTTTTTCGGCGGGAGCGCGATGTGTCAGAGGGTCCTTTTTCGCCCAAGACGGTTCCAAAAGAGCTTCCGATGCTCCAAGATGGCCTCTAAAGCGGCTCGAGATAACCGGACATGGTTCAATATAGCTTCCGCCATACCGCCAAGAGGCACGACGAGGGCCACAAGACGGTTCCAAGTGCACTCGGACCTCCAGGAACCCCCAAGAGGCCCGAGGCCCTGGATGACCCCCGTTTGCATTGACCCTCGTCCCTTGAGCCGCGACTCCTCATCCTTCCCCTCCCCTTCTCTGGCCTCCTCCTCCCTGCCTCCTCCTCGGGCCTCCTAACTCCTCCTACGGCCCCCTGGTGCCTCCCGCTGACCCCCCAGCAACTAGAGACTCCCGCTCGAAACGTCCTCCAAAAGGAGCCAGCCCTCAGGAGCGCTCAGGAGCCAGCCCTCAGGAGTCCCAAAAGTGACGACACTTGGCTGACTCGGATTATCAATTTCAAGTCCTGACCCCAAAGGGAGGGTGCTCCCGCTCAAGACTTCCGCGCGCCTCACTCACAAACAGAGCTCCCGCTCGAGATTTCTTCAATATTTCAGCCTCAGGGATGCGCACGTGACTGTGTGTGTGTGTGGGCGAGTGTGCGGTATTGGGTAATCATGATGACGACCTTGATGATGTGAGTGCGCTGTGTACATGATATGATGATGGCGATGGCGGGGATGGTGGTAATGAAGGCGGTGACGGCGATGACGTTGTGAGTGTGTGGGTGTGTGATGTTGATGGTTATGACGATGGCGATTTCTGCTCGGCCCCCCGGACCTCCGGCCCGGCGCTCTCGAGCAAGGAGCGCTGCGGCGCCAGACGGCCCATGCCGACGCGGACGAGCAGCGGCGCCCACGCCCGCGGGCGGCGGCCAAACGGCCGCGAGCCCCAAAGGGGCTCTCGCGCGGGGGCGGCCGCGGCACCGCCCGGCGAGCTCACCTGCGGTCCAGCACTTTCGGACAGCGTCGCGGCAGCAGCCCTGGCGCCACGCGATGCCCTGCGGGCGGATAGCGTGTCGCTCCGCTCCGCGGAGCGGGATGCTCGGAAAAGCTCGGGGCGTCGACGCTGGGAGTCGGGGAAGGGGATCGCGTGCCGCACCACAGCGTGGTGGGCCAGAACCCGCGGAGCGACATGTATACGCCAAGGTTCCTGAGCGCAGGCCGTCTAACTTTGCGCTTCGCGCCCCACGATTACCTCTGCGCCCTCGTGCCGTGTCTGTGGGGAAGGGCAGCCGCTCCGGCTCAGACCGCGCAATTATCTTTGCGCCCCCGGGGGCCGTCCCAGATGGGGCCAGAGCGAGTGGAGCCAGAGGGACTGGAGCAGATGGGGCCGCATGGTCTGGGAGGCTTGGAGGATCGAGGCTTGGAGGCTAGGAAGGAGGGCCGCATCCTGGCCCCCTGGGACTTGCGGGGAGAACTCTGGGCACCCGAGCGGCGGGGGTCGGCGCTGCCGGGACGGAGAAAGCCAGTCCCCAGAGCGCGCCACATCGCCGAGGATGACTGCCATCGGGAGCACGCTGTCACGACCCGCCGCCCAACGCCGCCCAATTGCCTCCGAGGTGAACATCGCGGCGGCTTCCTCTGACGGCGCACTTTTTCGCGACGTCCCCCCCAAGGGACCGGCGTTTCATCCTGAATTGTTGTGTGACGGTCCCAGCGGGCCCGGAAGCGGCCTCGGTGGCTGAGCACATGAAAGAAACGGCCGTCGCCACTTTCTTATTTTGGCTGGTCCCTGGGTCCCGAGGGGACCTCCAACGCGAAAACATCGCGAGGATGCCTCGCACGGGACCCAATCGCCAACATGAGCGCAGCGACTGCCTCGCGCGGGGGCCGCCAATCGCGGGAAGCCGCGCTCGGGCGGTTGCCGTGTGGCCGAGCCGTGCGTCTGCTGGGGAGCGCGCGTGCGGTTTGCTGTCCCGTGCCTTAGCGGGCGAAGAACGGGACACAAATAAGCTTGTCCGCAGTCAGGGACGCCGCCCCCAGGGCGGCTGGAGAATTAATACCTCGACGGTGGCACGTCGGGGCATTAACTCTCCAGCCGCCATGGGGCAACCGTACCCGACGGCGGGAACAATCATTTTACACCGCTCTTCGTCCGTTAAGTTCCGTGCCTCAGGGGCGGCGGCTCGTCGTCGAAGTCCTTGTCCTTGCCTTTGCCTGGGGAGGAGTTCAGTGTTCATGAGCGCCAGGGGCAGAGCAGCTGAACAAAAGCAAGCGCGATGTACCTTCTGCTCCATGGAGCGCGCCACCGATAGTGTGGTCCGAAGAAGCGAGGACCGGGACAGACAGAGGAGGATGAGGATGAGGAGGAGCAAGGACGCAGGAGCGGGCAGCGTGATCTTGAGTGGGAGGATGGGGATGAACAGCAAAAAGGAGTGGGAGGCGGGATGGGGCCAGGAGGCGTGCGAAACGCCTGCGCTCCTGGCATGCCCCAACTCCGCCGCGCGGACTCCCAACTCGTGGCTATCCTCATTGTGACTCGCTCAGCACCTTACGACAGAACAATACCGCCTGAAGGCGCGCTTCGGTTGCCAATTCATGTGCCCCGTGCTGCCGAACACTGCTGCACGATCATGCGGTCGTGAACTGCCCGACCTGCGCACAGCTCTCTGGTGCTCGGGGAATCCGCAGAAAGGGAGCGTGTGCCCCACACTGCATCATGAGCCACGGGGTGCTGAAATGAGATGCATCAAACAAACACGCGACTACACAAGCAGCAATCAAGGAGCTAACGATGCAGCCTTTGCCCTTCTTGCCGCCGCTTTGCCTGACAGAAGCTCTCTTGTAACGTTTGTGTACGTTTCGATGCGCACTTCCTGCTGCTTGCCCTCTCCCCTAGCATTGCCGATCTTCGGCGCGCAACCACTCGGTTCTGACCTTCTGCAGGTGACATGCTGCTATTTGCAACGGCGGCCGACCAACCTTGTCCCTGGTGGGCCTCCCCATTGACCGATGAAGAGGATGAGCGTAAGGATGACCTCACGCGTGGCCCGCGAGTTTCGCAGTCCGCTCACGTGTGGGGTTGCGACCAGGGGCCACGACCAGAGACCACGGGCCAACGATTTTGGATTGCGCAGGCCGCCCAACGGCCTTGGGAAAAATATGTCAGACCCTTACAGACAAGCTGCACACGGAATTTGAAACTCTGCACCCTCAACTTTGGTATTTTGATTGCGTGTATTGCACTTCGCATTAGCACTGGCTTCATCCATACGTGTATGTGTTCACGTTCTAATTGTATGATTTACCTTTTGTCACCAACCCATCTTTCCTGGTGAAGGGCCCGGCACGTTACCATACTCCGTGGATGCGTTTTCCTGCCCGTCTCGCCGACACCGCATATCATGCGTAGAATGAAAGCCATAAGGCGGGCGTATCGCCTCATCGGCGGCGGCTCCTCCTCCACGGCCTTGCCCTCGCGCCGCAGTGCGGGAGGAGCGCGCGAAGTGGACATGTACGGGGAGGAGCTCGGCACAAGATCGGCCACTGACATGTGCCGTAGCAAGGCGCACTGTGCGGATGCTCCGGAAGGGAGGGGACGCGAAACATCAGAAACAGCATGTCCAAGGATCTCCGCATCGTTTCCCGCATCCTCTCCTCACCCAGACCTGAAACATCTTCCACATAATAGACACGCATGGGCTACACCGATCTGGGTAGCGGCGAAGAACAAAAACAACTGGTGAATCATGACAAGCATTCCGACACTCTGGCTTTTGCACAAGGACCACGCGCAAACGATTCATGTGTCAGGTTTTGGTTGGTCGCACACACGCGCTTCGTCTCCTGTCCTCTCTCTCCCTCTCCCTCTCCATCTCGCACAACACATACTCTTCCTCTCCTGTCCTCTCTCTGTCTCTCTCTCTCTCGCCCTCTATCCCTCCATTCCCCTCCGTCCCTCTCCCTCTCTTTCTATATCTGCTGCTCGGTCCCTCTGTACACATAGAAAAATATATAGATCTATCTCTGTCTTTGTCTCGGTCTCTGTCTCTCTCTCTCTCTCGCTCTCTCCTTCCCTCTTCCAGCAGCCTGCGCTATCATCCCAATAATGGCAGCACATAGAGGCGCTTATGAACAACTGCGCGCAGACCTGCGGACTATTGCACAAACAATGGCCATAGTGCTTTCATAATGCGACTGGGAGAAGCGACATTTTGGAGTAACAGCGTAGTTTACCAATGAAGGGCCGCGTGGAAGTCATTCTGGGCAGTCTCAAAACATTCTGGTCTCGCTCTGTATTGATGTGTGAGGCCTTGCCGTGTCCAGACCTGTCTTCGAAGATATCTTGGGCCGTCTTGGCTGCCATTTGGCATTCTTTTTGCCCCTCCCGCCTCAACGGTAACAGTTCGCTCGAATCATCTCCGGGGCACCCTCTGGGCTGGCCGGGGAAACGCTGTGAGGTCAGGTCGCGCCCTCCTCCCCTTTCGACCCTGGTATTCGATCCTCAACCTTCGGACCAGGGAGGTCGATCTCGATTTCTAATCCCTTGCCTCCCCGACCTGGCGAATACGATCCAGACCACCTCTCCGTCGTCGTCGAAACTTGGGCCTTTGCTCCTGCGATCTTTAGACCCCTCGACGGCAAGCTCGGGAGGCTGAGCAAATTCCGCTACCGAGGAAACCCGCATACCTATTACGTCCTGTATGCACCATCAGAATTGCTAGCACTACCATCACTGCCACCACTACTACTTCTACGACCATTACTACTGCCACCGGTACTGTGACTACTACTCTTACTACCACTACTACTATTACTGCTGCTACTACTACTGCGACTACTACTACTACTCCTGCGATGAAAACTACTAATACCACCAGTACAACCACCAGTACCAGTACTACAACCCTACTACTTCTATTACTCCTTCTACGGCGACGACTACTACTACTATTACGACAACTCCTACTCCCACTACCAGTGCCAGTACCACTGCCACTACCACAACTATAACAATTATTACTACTACTACTACTACTACTACTACTACTGCGACTACTGCTACTACTACTACTACTACTAGTACTTCTGATGATGCGACTACTACTTTTACCACTACTACGTTTACTACTACAACTACTAGTAGTAGTAGTACTACTACTACTACTACTACTGCAACTGCGAGTATTACTACTACTGCTACTGCTACTACTACTACTACTTCTTCTTCTACTGCTACTACTACTTCTACTACCAATACCACTGCCACTTCCACTACTATTACTACTACTACTACTGCTACTACTGATGATGATACAACTACTTCTACTACATACTACTCCTTCTACACCTGCTGCTAATACTGCCACTCCTACCACCACTACCCCTGCTAGTAGTAGTAGTAGTAGTAGTAGTAGCAGCAGCAGCAGTAGACTACTACTACTACTGCTACTGCTACTGCTACTGCTACTGCTACTACTACTACTACTACTACTACTACTACTACTACTACTACTACTACTACTAGTACTACTTCTACTACCGCTGCCAACTACTAGTGCTACTACTGCGGCTACTTATTACTCGGATAACTGCTGCTACTTCTTCTTCTACTACTACTACTACTACTATTACTACTAACACGGCTACTACTATCACGAGCACTACTTCTACTCCTGCTGCTGCTGCTTCTGCTGCTAGCGATACCACTATTACTACTACTGCTACTACTACTACTACCACTACTACTACTACTCCTACTACTACTACTACTACTACTACTGCTACTACTACGACTGCGACTGATACGTACAATACTACTACTACTGCTACTACTACTACTACTGCTGCTACTGCTACTGCTACTACTACTACTACTACTACTACTTGGACTGCGACTGCGACTGCGACTACCGCTACTGCTACTGCTACTGCTACTGCTGCTACTACTACTACTACTACTACTACTACTTCTACAACCGACTACTACTACTACTACTACTACGACTACTACTACTACTACTACTACGACTACTACTACTACTACTACTACTACTACTACTACTACTACTACTACTACTTCTACGACCATTACTACTGCCACTGGTACTCTACGACTACTCCTACTACCACTAACACTACTGCTATTACTACTACTACTACTCCTGCTACTACGACTACTACTACTACTACTACTACTGCTACTACTACTACTACTACTACTACTACTTCTACTACTACTACTACTACTACGACTGTTACTCGGACTAATACTAGTACTACTATTGTGTCTACGACGACGGCTACTACTACTATAACTACTACTCGCATTACTACTACGACGACTACTACTACGACTACCACTGCTAGTAGTAGTAGTAGTAGTAGTAGAAGAAGTAGAAGTAGAAGAAGTAGTAGTAGTAGTAGTAGTAGTAGTAGCAGTAGTAGTAGTAGTAGTAGTAGTAGTAGTAAGTAGTAGTAGTAGTAAGTAGTAGTAGTAGTAGTAGTAGTAGTAGTAGTAGTAGTAGTAGTAGTATCAGTAGTTGTAGCTGTAGTGGTGGTGGTAATAGTCGTAGTAGTACTACTAATACTTATACGATTACAACGACTACGACTACGATTGTGATTCTTACTACGGCTACTACCACCACTGCTGCTACTACTACTACTACTGCTACTACGACTACTGCTACCAGTAGTCGTACTCGAGTAGTCGTACTCGTACTCGTAGTCGTACTGATACTACTACGGCTGCCACCACCGCTTTCACTGCCATTAATATTAGTATTACCGCTAGAACTACTACCACTCACGACTTCCAACATCGTATCACAACGTTTGAGGTCAGCGCGACAAAGGCGTCCACGGCGACGATAAGACAGTACACCGATCGAGCCGACATCGAAACCGAAACCGCCGGCCTATTATTTCTCATCCTCCTCGCTCCTCCTGAAGAAGGAAGTCCACCTCTGCAAGTTCCTTGAAACCTCTGGAGGCTCCCGTGGGCACAACACCATGCAACGTACAGAAATCTGAATCCTTCTTGTCCCCCCTCACCAGATTCCTGGGGGGACGCCTGGGCTTCCTCTCGCCTGTACATCCTGGCGATGTGCTCGGTTCCTCCTTTTGTCCTCTTCCTCCTACCCTCCCTCTCCTCCCCCTCCCCTCTCGACCTCCCCCCCACGTCCTGCATTTCAAAACCAAGCGAGCGTGTCACGGATAGAGGACGCGATAAGGACCACCCCTGCGCACCCTCTGTGGTGTCGAAGACATGGCACGCCTGCCACGCCCTGCGAGCGCGACACGGATAGAGGCCGCGCTGAAGGACCACCCCCTGCGCATCCCCTGTAGATTCGAGACAGTGCCACCCCTGCCATGGCCAGGGACCCCCCTGTGATGCAGAGGACATACCACGCTTGCCACGCTTTGGGGGCCCGCAGCCGATAGGGCGACAGCCCCCCAGGCACTCCCTGTGGTGTCGAGGACGTGCCACGCCTGCCACGCTTCGCGAGCCTGCCACGGATAAGGGGGAGCACCCCCAGCGCACCCTCTGTTGTGTCGAGGAAGCGCCGTCTGCCGCGCTTTGCGAGCCCGCATCCGATAGGAGGACCACCTCTAGTGCACCCCCTGTTGTGTCGAGGAAGCGCCACGCCTGCCACGCTTTGGGGGCCCGCAACGGATAGGGGGACGACCCCCAGCGCACCCCCTGTGAAGTTGAGGACGTGCCACGCCTGCCACGCTTTGGAGGCCCGCAACGGATAGGGGGACTACCCCCCCCGCGCAACCCCTGTGGTGTCGAGGAAGTGCCACGTCTGCCTCGCTTTGGGGGCCCGACGGGTAGGATGACGATCCCGAGCGCACCCCTTGTGGCGTCGAGAAAATGCCACGCCTGCTTCTCCTTGCTGGCGTGCGACGCATAGCGTCCCCACGTCCCCACCCCCTGCGCACCCCCCTGCGGCGGCGAGATCGTGCATGCCGGCCACGTTTTGCGAGCGTGCGACGTATAGCGCCCCAATCTCCAATGCATCCCCCTGTGGTATACAGAAACTGGCATGCCTGCCCCGCACAGCGAGCATGCCACGGATAGAGACCGCGGTCAGGGACCAACCCCTGCGCCCCCTGTCAGGGGTCGAGGAAATGCCTCGCCTACCATGCCTTGCGAGCGTGTCATGAATAGGGGCCACGCTGAGGCACCACCCCCTGCGCCCCCTCTGTGGTGTCGCAGACATGCCACGCCTGCCACGACCTGCGAGCGTGTGACGGATAGATGCCACGTTGAGGGACCGAGGGACCACCCCCTGCGCACCCCCTGTGATGCCGAGGAGGTGCCACGTCTGCCGCGCTTTGGGGGCCCGCAATGGATAGGGGGACCACCCCCTGCGCAACCCCATGTGGTGCCGAGGATATGCCACGGCTGCCGCGCTTTGCGAGCCCGAAACGGATAGC